CATTTTGAGAAATAAGGTTCTTATCATGTAAAGATGATATAAAGTTGGAATGGGTTTGAGATAAATGGAAGGAATCATGTCGTTCAATGATTTGTGATTAGGATAAGTAAAGTTCAATGGACTTGGTATAAAAGCGTGCATTATAGTTATTGAACCATTAAGTCGACACAAAGGTCAAGTGAAAGAATGTAAGAATATTTATATTCTTATGTGACCTATGTGTCTTTCGGTTTAATTATTAAAGATCAAGTTCATATTAAAGATAAGGATTCTAGTATTAAAGACGATACCGTGATGGATCGGTTTCGATTAATAGCATTAGAATTCGGATGTATTGCATCCGTAGTTAGTGAAATGTTAATTATAACTACATTAGGATGGTGCTTTATATAATATGATTAAGTGTCGGTTACTTTAAAGAGACGTGGCTTTTCATGTGTTATAAATACACATGAAATGAACGTGTAAATGTTTACGAGAACAAAAAAGCGTAACTTGCAACTATCGATCCTTCTCCATCGAAAGGATCATCAAGGGAAAAGGTCAAAAAGAGGAGAAGATCAATTGATGAAGTTGATTCCATAACAAGCCAAACAAGCAATGGATAGTCTTTCTTATTCTACAAGAAAGTGTTTGTGGTTGAATTAAATTGAATCTAGATGATCTTGGGATAGATTTCATGATTGACATCATTAGGAATTATGTCTACATGAGGAAGAGCTTGTCGCGGAATTGGGGTGTACGTTACACTAGAGGAACACAACACAAGTGAACAATCACTTAGCCTGGTTGGCCACGGTTCAAAAGTTAACTCTCACAATCCAATTAAGGAAGGATTTGGAATCCTCCCATAGATCATCAGCACACCATCTCATGGTTCTCGATCAGAAAACATTGTGACAGATTTGCTTGCAAATTCTACAATGAAAAATCCATCTTTTTTTTGTCAACGAAAATCCATCTATTGTAATAGTTTAAACACTAATGGAATCAAAAACAAAATATTAGAGAAGATATTTGTAATGTCCGTGAACCAAAAATTAGATTTTTGGGTTGTACGTCGATCGACGCAGGGTGTGTGTCGATCGACACGCTGTGTTGACTTGTGGGACATCGCAATTTCGGGTGTTGCATCGATCAACACAAGGTGTGTGTGTCGATCTACACAAGCTGGAATTGAACCGGGTCGGTTTGATTTGAGTCGTCGGTTCGACTCGGTTTAGGAGGAAACCCTAGGGCTTCCCTATAAAAGGGACGTGGCCGCGATTTTGGTCGTTTTTAGTTTCCAGAAAGTTTACAGAGAGTTCCAGAGAGTTTTTCCAGTGAGTTGAGAGATGATTTGAGAGAAAAGAAGAATCATTGTTGATTTCTTCCTGTTCTTGATCCTGAAAGCTCGTGTGTGTGATTGCGAGATTCTGGAATTAGGATTCGATCCGTGTTCTTTGTGGTTGAGGAAGGAATCCAGATTTGGAGATCTGACCAGTCGTGTTCTTCGTGTTCTTCGTCGATTTCTTATCTTTTTCTATCTGAAATCGAGGTGAGTGCGTGACCATGGGTTATTAGGGTAAATGAATGAATCCCAATGCCTTGTGTGATGAATTGATGATTGATTCTCATTGCTATGGATGATTTCGTGTTATTGGATGTGTTTGTTGAAAGTTTCTGTGCAGGAGATCGACTCGAGGCAGAGCCGAATCGGACTAGAGAGGAGAATATTCGATTATGCGTTTCTGCGCTGTTGCGTCGATCGACACCAAGCGACACCATTGCTTGGTGTCGATCGATGCCGTCAGTTTGACGTATTGATTGTTATGTGATGATTGGTTATTTTTTGGTGTTGTGGTTTGTCCCTTA